CCACTGCCGGGTGTTTTCTTCAAAAACCGACAGCGGGGACTCGAAGACAGTCACGCAGCATCTTCAGCACAGCGTGCCCGCTGCGGACCAGGAGAAAGAGACTCGAAGACGTCGAGACGGGCGTCACGGCGTCTCCGTGTCCCCGGTCCGAGGCCACTGCGGTGAGTCATTCGTCACTGGGAGTTGAGTTAGTCAGTCGGGCCGGCCCCCACCTCTCTCGCAGCGTGGGAAGCCCGCCGTGCTGACCCACCCCGGCCGTCCCGTGGCTTCCCATTCTGCGGATACTCACACCTTGTGTTTCTCCACTCGGCCCCCGACGGACTGGTGGGGGCCGGATGAGCCGGAGCAGATGTGGGTGAGGGACGGAGGGTCACCTGTGACCTGAGGGGGGCAGGGAGAGCCGGGTGTCTGCCCCAGGCAGCTCCCGCCGGCCCCAGAGGTGACAGTGAGTCAGAGCTGGAGAAACCGCCCCAGGTTCCGAGGACAGTCGGGCCTGCAAGTGCAGAATGGGACACCTGCTGTGGCTTTCAGGTGGCATTTACCCCGCACGGAGGCCCGGGGCCGTCTGGGCGGGAGGTGACGGAGAGGGCAGCTGGGACACCGAGAGGAGGGAAAGCGTCACCACCTTTCCAGCAACCCCGGAGGCAGCGTCCCAGGTGCCCCGGGGAGGAGGCCGACCCGCCCCAGGGGCTCCTCCACCCGGAAGGTGAAGCTGAGGCCAACGAGAGCCCGGAGTCGGGGGTGGGGGGACCAGCAGGAGGGGCGCCCGGCCCAGGACAGCCGGCTGGAATCTGGGGCAGCCCCGCCGGCACGTCCGGTAGGAAGACACAGAGGCCACACGGCGAGGCGCCCAGTCCCTGCTCTCTGTCCATCAGGTGCCCTGAGGCGCTCGGGGCGAGTCACAAGCCTCCTCGGAGCCTCAGTTTCCGGGCTCGTAAAGGGACAGGACTGAACCCACCCCTCAGATGCAGCCTCAGAATCCGCAGAATCCGGGCCCTGGTCTGGGGCCATGGTGGGCCCTGAGGCATCAGGGACAAGCCGCTGTGAAGGGAGGGGACCCAGAAAAGGCCAGGCCGAGGGGAGGAGGGCCGCTGTCTGCCTCGTCCACCAAGGGAACAGAGCCAGTACCCGGGGCCCCAGGTGGGCGGAGGGAAGGCGGCCCAGGCCCGGGGTTCTCGGTCACGGTTTGTCCCATTTCAGTTCAGGGTGGCACAGGGTTAGACCGAAGCAGAGAAGCGCTGGGAATTTCGCAGCACGTGGCAGAGTGGATTTTCTGTGATGGTGACCGTGTGTCACTGGCTCGCGGGGACGGGTCGGGGACCAGGCCGCGCTCACCCCCACCCTGGGCGCAGCCTCCTGTGCCCCACTCAGGCTGAGCACTGAGCTGCTGCCCCTCCTCGGCAGACTCGCCCCTGGGAAGTGGAGAAACAGCCTGTGGGGAGCCTGGGCTCTTGGAAAGGGGCTTTGTATTCACGTTCTCTCTGCCTCGGTTCTGGGGAGGGAGGCGGAGGTCGGGGCCAGCACACAGGTGGCTCCGGGAGGCGTGTCTGGGCCCCGTGACCTGCATGCACCCCGTGGGCTCTCTTCAGACCAACTTGTAACTTTCTGTGGCTGGCAGGGACGCGGGGACACTGGGACTCGGGGGCTTGGGGAGGCAGGGACTTGGGGACGCGGCCTGCCTCACTTACATCATCGGTGCTGCCCGCGGGGGAGCCCCAGGCCCCCCGCCCGGGATCCAGGGCTCCGCCTGCCCGGCAGGCCTGCTCTGCCAGGAGGAACTGGCAGCCATGCGGTTTGGGTGGGCATTTCCCTTTTTTGACAATGACATATTTAGATAATAATTAAGAGCTTCCCTTAAGTACTCAAATACAGAACTGCCCGGAAGCTGCTTAGAAGACAGGGCTCGGTCAGTGTCGCTTCTGGGCCTCTCCCCGTCCTGAGGCATCTCTGTCACACAGCCCTGCCACCGTGCCCAAGTCCAGCAGGCCCAGGTGTCTCGGTGCAGAGCCCGACCTCGTCTGCCTGAGGTGGGGAAGGACTGGTCCTGAGGGCTTCCACCCGAGGGGGGTGGGCCCCCTACCCACAGGACAGGGAGGGGCCCCTGCCTCGTGCCCTGAAGGTGGACGAGAACCTGGGTTCGGCACAGCACGTGACCCTTTACTCAGGCTTGGTTGGTTCAGGGTTCATTTCTGGAGAAGCTGGACAGACTCTGGCCTCAGGGCCACGGTCAAGGTGCTCAGTGACTGGGGCCCTGCGGCCTCGGGGCGGACGGGGCCTGCACCTCCTGCTGCCCAACGCTCCCACCACCCGGACACCGGAGTGGCCGCCTCTGCTGCTCTCTCACCCACCTCGGCCGGGGCCTGGGTCCTGGGAGCCCCTGGCCACGGCAAGTTCTGCATGCACGGCCACTCCAGTGCGGGCAGCGATGCATGCAGCCGGGAAGCTGGGGGACAGCCTGGCCGCTCAGCACCCCCACCCCCCGGCCCCACCACCCCCACCACCCCCACCCTGCCCACTTCCCTCCAGCTGCTGAGTCACAACCCGCCCCCACCTGCCACTGACTTCTGTCCGGGCACAACCGCTTCTGGTTGAGCTCTTGGTGTCTCAATGTCCTTCCTGCCCCCAGAGGAAAAACTGCTCTGGAAAATCACCAGGCCAGAAAGCAAGAGCGGTTTGTGCCTCGGGCGGCGTGAGGGAGAGGTTCCCGGTGCTGGCCCAGGCCGGCCAGGAGGCCGGGATCCGTGGCGGCCTCCGTGAAGGCAACTCCCTCCTGGGCAAGCGGGGGGCTGCGACCCAGCCCCCCCATGCAGGTGCACGCTCTGAGTGGTGTGTGCAGGCACAGGGGCCCCTCCCGGAGCCCGACCACCCCCCCCACCAGAAGACGCCCCCCACTCTGCGTCCCGGGAGGTCCAGGACTCACCGCGCTCCCCAGCCCGCACAGTGACGGAGGCCCCGTGGGTACCCTCCCCTCGCCCCCCCGTGGCGGGGTCTTCCTGGCACAGGTGCGCTCTGCAGCCCCAGGGCAGGGTCCTGAACTCTCTGAAGGAGTTACGGTCAGAGTGGGGCAGTTCACAGAAAACAGACAGGTGGGACCACAGCGGCCTGACGGGCCTCCCAGTGAGGGGACTCAGGGCCAAGGCTGGTGCCACAGCCGAAAGAAAGCCCCCGAGCCAGGGCGGTGCGTCCGAGGTGGCCCCGAGGTCCTCAGGCGTGCTCCGATCACGGAGTCAGATCCTGAGAACCGCCGTCGGGGTGGGAAGCCAGCCCTGGTCCTCGCCCACCGTCAGGATCTGAGCTTGCGGGAGGAGTGGCCGAAGGCCTGGTGCTGGGAAGGACTGGGAGTGAGAGGGGCCAGGGGAGGGGGCGGTGCCGGGCTCAGGCACACAGTGCCCGCTGGCTGCCGTCCGAGAGTTGGGGGGTGTGGGAGGAGGTCTGGGGGCTTCAAAATCCCAGTCCGCATGTAGCAGCCACATAGCACTCCAACAAAACATCTGTTAAATTTTTTTAAATTAAAGATTTTATTTTTAGAGAGAGGAAAGGGGAGGGAGAAAGAGAGGGAGAGAAACATCAATGTATGGTTGCCTCTCCAGCACCCCCTGCTGGGGACCTGGCTCACAACCCAGGCCTGTGCCCTGACTGGGAATCGAACCGGTGACCCTTTGGTTTACAGGCCGGCGCTCAGTCCACTGAGCCACACCATCTGGGGCCAAATTTTTAATTCTTATTTTTTTTAAACTTTATTTATTTATCTTTAGAGGGGGAGGGAAGGAGAGAGCGAGAGAAACATCAATGTATGGTTGCCTTTCATGCGTCCCCTGCTGGGAATTGGCCTTCAGGGAACTAACCTGCAACCCAGGAATGTGCCCTGACTGGGAATCGAACCGCGATTGTCTGGTTCGCAGGCCCCAAATTTTAAATTTTAAATCAAAATCGGTTCGGCCACTGAAAACTGTCGCCTATGCGTGAAGCAGCTTAGGTGAACCAATACCGTTTTGACTGTCAATTTTATGAAATTTAAGTGCCATCGACAATTTCCGGTGAACGTGTCCCGTCTGGATTGAGAGTTGCCGCAGGCACAGCACACACACCAGAGTCTGAAGACTCCGTAGAGAAAAAGGAAACTAAAATATCACATTAATAATTCCTGATACCAGGGATACATTGAAGTGCTCATTTTTGGTGATATTGGATGAAGTCAGAAGCAACTCAAATTAATTTCCCGTTTCATGTAAAAATCACACGCGTGTCTGCAATGTACTTTTCGTTTGTTTTCAGCCCTCACCCAAGGATGTGTTTGTTGCTTTTAGACGGAGTAGAAATGAAAGAAAGAGAGAGAGGGAAACATCGACTCCGAACAGGCCCAGCAGGGGCTCAAACCCTCAGCCCTTTGGTGCAGTCACAATGCTCCGACCCACTGAGCCACCTGGCCAGGGCTGCGCTGTGGTTTTACGGGCTGGTACCAATCTGGGCTCACAACACGTGGTGCAAACTGTGAACGGGGACCCACGCCTTCAATCCGGTCACTGCAAGCACCTCGGCTCGGGGCGGGGGACGGGTGCAGAGTGTAAGTGCATGAGGGTGTGTCTGTGTGTCCAGGTGTCCGGGTGTGTCCCTCCGGGGGTGGGCAGGAGGCCAGCGTGCGTGAGGGGCGACCCCCTGAAGCCCACAGAATGGGGACATTTCCACAGGACTCAGAGTCCCCCCCACTGCTGCAGTGGGGGCTGGGCTGCTCGGGTTACTGACCGCCCTTGGCCTCCTCACCCTCACATTGAGGCCACTTCCTGGGGACCCGTGATCCTAGAATTACTCACAGCCCGCGCCTCTGTGCTCAGGAAATATATCAGGTCACGTGGACGTCACCAGGTTTCACTGTGACCTTTCATGGGGGCAGGAATGGAAATGTTTGACAAGCCATGGCTTTTTCTTTGGGAAATTCTGGGTTTCAGAATAAAGGCATGCGGGGGCGGGGTGGGCGGGGTGTAGGGGACTGTGCCCCGCCCCGTCCGTCTGTACCGTGGGCCCAGCAGCCCCTCCAGTTCCCAGGGAGTTTGAGGGGGACAGAGACCGAGGCCCAGACTTTTGTCTGTGGTCCCTGCCTGGGGCAGGGGTGAGGGAGGAGGGGAGGCAGCTCTGTGTCACCCCCAGCTGGAAAGGAAGTCATTTCCTCGCCCCTCCCACCGCGGCTGCAGTGGAAAAGCACAGCTGCAGGCAAGACTCGGAGGAACCTCGTGAGTGAGCGGGGAGTGAGCGGGACGGGGGACGCCGGGCCTCCCCGAGCCGGGGCGACAGGAGGGCGGAGTCCGACCCCAGGGTCCCGGTGGGACACCTCTGTTCTGGGTCCTGGGTCTGCTGAGTGGGGGCCCCACAGCCTCTCCGATGGCCCCTGAGGGGCACAAACGGAAAGAACAGTTCTACCCTGGCCCCTCCCCGTGCCGCCCTCCGGCCCCGGAGGGAGGAGTGTGCACTGGGGACCCACAGGCACCTGGGCTGCGGCCTTGGCTGTCCAATGGCCACACAGCCAGCGGCTCGGCAAAGAGGGAGCTGGCCCATCAAGTCCTACGGTCTTTGGAAAGTTCCCTCTTCTGTCCTGAACACACGGAGAGCCCCGGAGGGTGGGCCCTCCCCGGGCAGCGCCTGGCTGGGCCGGGAGGGGGCAGCCGCGCCCCAGCTGAGTTGGGGACACAGATGCAGGGAGGGGAAGGTGTGTGGCTGTCACTGCTCTGCCCACGACCTTGGGCACTGCCAGGCACCTTCCCAGGGTCCCCCTGCAACCAGCATCTCTGGGGTGGGGAGCGGGAGACTCACTCTGCCCCCCTCAGCCTGTGAAGGCACGGGGTCGGGGGGTGGGGCAGCAGGTGGGTGGGTGGGCACAGGGCGGCCTGACCTCAGCGTCCGCCTGCCCTTCGTGGTGCCTCACTGTCCCCCGGGGGCTCCCAGTTCTCCACTCTTTGTCCTTGTCCTGGCCCAGGCCAGTGGGTCCCAGTGGAGACTCAGCCCCTGTGTGCTGTGTGCCTCCCCACGGCCTGCGGCTCTGAGACTTTCCAGACCCGGAGACCGCACAGCTCCGGCCTGAGACGGCAGAGCACGCCCAGGGAGGTGAGGGAATCGGCTGGCTGCCTGGGGCAGGGACGCCCTGAGCCCACCGAGTCCATGGGGCAGGATGGGCAGGGCCCGGTCCTCCCTGTGACCACCCCTCCTGCCTCCCTTCCCTGACCCTGAATGAGGAGGGGCTCTGATGGGGAAGGACCGGGCCTCCCTGGGCCTTGGAGCCTGCTGAGAAAGGCTGCCCAGCGGGGGTCGTCCCCTGGCCACCCTGCCTCCGTCGGTCGCAGGACCGTGGGGCGTCTTTGCTGGTGCCGGCTGGCCTGCAGAGGTGGGCGGGAACGCAAGGGGGGTGTCGGCGCCCGGAGCAGAAGCCCACGCGTGTCTGGCCCGTTGCCGGTCCCAGGCTCTGCCGAGGTCAGGAACCTGGCACCCTGGGAGCGAAGAACCCAGCCTCCCTGCAGGGAGGTGAGCGGTCCCCACTGGCCGGGTCTCCGTGTGGGCGGCTGCGCTGCGGACCAGGGAGGGCTGGCCTCTGAGTTGGATTCCTGCTGAGGCTCCGCGGGTGGGCGCTGCCGGGCATGGCCACCATCGGACCCACAGCTTGAAAAGGAAGGGAGACGCGGAACCCAACCGGCCGCTGCCTTTCCCCTACTCCGCGCCCACCGCCCACCCTCCTGGGAGGTGGAGGTCCGCCCTTGACTGAGGCCTTTGGACTCAGCTACTGCTGGAGCTGACGGGGAACCTTGTCTCGGGCCTTCCCTTCACGGCTCCTCGGGGGGGACAGTGCTTCCCAGCATCACCCCGAGCCCCAGAGCATGGGGGGGCCACGTGCATGGGTTGGGGGCTCACCGGCAGGAAGTGGGGGTCTCATCCTCAGCTGGGCACGGTCTGCTGTCCTTCGGCCTCTGCCCTGTGCTCTGGGGAAGCCAGGTAACAGGGAGAACCCCCCAGGACACGCAACCTTCCTCCACACCCGGAAGGCAGGCGCAGGCGTGCTGTACTTCCTCACCTCTCGGGCACTTGCTTTGCATTTTTAGAATTCCCATCTGGCCCTGGCTGGTGTGGCTCAGGGGATTGAGAGCCAGACTGTGAACGGGAGGATCACCAGTTCAATTCCCAGGCAGGGCACATGCCTGGGTTGCGGGCCAGGTCCCCAGTAGGGGGTGCACGAGAGGCAACCACACACTGATGTCTCTTCTTCTCTTTCTCCCTCCTTTCCCCTCTCTAAAAATAAATAAAGTCTTTTTAAAAAATCCTGTCTAATTGCAGGGGAAGCACCGTGACAGCCCCCCGGCCCTGTCTATCATCCCCACCCCTCCCCTGATGTTAATGACTTTATTGTGTCTGGAGCAGGCCAAGGGAAATGCCCGTCTTCCGGCCAAGTCTGCAGGTCTGGTTCAAGTGCATGCCTCTTTGCATTACTGCTCCAAGTAAACCTCCTGCAAGTGATTCACAGAACAGAATCGGTGGGAACAGAAAGATGATGACTCGGCATGTGCACCAGGAAGACGAGCCGCTCGTCTGATCATTCCTCCTGATTTACAGCCGGAAAGTGCGGGGAGGTCCCTCGGTCTCCGCGAGCATTAGCGGGGACCGCCAGCAGGGACCGCCAGCATCGGCCCACGTACCCTTGACGAACTGCGTCACCGCCGCTTTCTCCCCACAGAGCACTCTCGTGGTGTCCGCTGTCCTGGTCACCCTCTTCCATTCCACTCGGCAGCTGATCACGGGTCGGTGACACTCTGTGGCAGCTTCGGTGGCCGCGCACGGTTCCACCATGGTCCATGCGACTTACGACAGAGACTGCTGCCAGCCTGGGTACCTGGTGTCTGTCTTTGCACGAGACTTTTCACGCAGAAACTTATTTCCTTAGGATACTTTTCGATAGATTTTGTCGGGATTTTGGTGCCTTGTGCCAAAGTGCACCCCGCTGCCCCGCCCCTCCACACTCTCCAAAAGAGACCAGCTGGCTTATATTGCTCCAAGGGCCGTCTTTCCTCTCTGCTTTGGCCAGCGTGGGTGTTACCATTTAAAACAAAGGTTGCCAGTTTGACGGAAGACGCCCGGAAAGTCATCCATGTGCTCAGGACGTTGCTTTGGGTCTTGCGAAGGACGGCATCTGTCACGAGCCTGTGGGCCAGGGTGCAACCCGAGAAAGGCCTGGGCCAGCTCCCGCCCATTTTTCTACGAACGTCCTGTCCTTTGAAAACGCATGTGTCTGTGAGGCCTCGACTGACCGTTTGTCCACAGCGTGGGAGGACACGCTCTCTCCTGCCTCCCCACTCGCTTCCCACTGGGGCTGGGGTGTCTTTAGCCGCCCGAGGGGTTTAGACACTCATGCAGTCCCGCGTCACCCCTGTCCTTCGGTGGCGCCTGGAAAGGTCCGCCCTGTCCCCGGGTAATAAACGATGCCTTTGTGTCCCTGCTATTCACCCATCAGGTGGGCTCGAGTTTGTGGTGACCTCCAGCTTCTGAACTTCGCTTCAAATCTCTTCCTTCGATCCTTAGCTGAGGGTCTCACCTTGGTGAGCAGAGATTGAAGGTGGAATTAGTCTAAAGTATGGTTTTTAAAAGACTTTATCATTTATTTTCAGAGAGAGGGGAAGGGGGAGAAAAAAATCCATGTGTGGTTGCCTCTCGTGCGCCCCCTTCAGGGGACCTGGCCCACAACCCAGACATGTGCCCTGACTGGGAATCAAACCCGGCGACCCTTTGGTTTGCAGGCCGGCACTCAGTCCACTGAGCTACACCAGCCAGAATTAGTCTGATGGTTTTCAATGGGTAGAAGCTTCTGGGCTGGATATAGTGATGTAATCCCCAAGTACACGCTTGTTCTTCCCAGGTGGTGGTCTTGGGGGGATTGATTTCCCTCTGTGGGTCATCTTTTCATCGACTAGGCAGGGACCCCCAGGTCGAGGTTCATCTCACAGCCCCTACGGACCCCAGAGGCACACGGGAGGTCTCTGGGCGCCGAGAAGGAAAGCGACCAGTACAGACTCAGCATCCCCTGCATTGGGCGCTGTAGGGCGTCTCTGCGCCAGGCGGGGGTGCCTGCGGGGACCACGGGAGGGCAACGCCGAGAAGAACCGACCTGTGGGATTTCATAAATCAAGACGAGCTTCGTTCCGAGGGCTGTAAATTGATTAGCGTCTGAGCTGTGCGCGTCACCTGGGTCCCGGGCCCGCCTCCCTCCAGCTGACTCTCTGCCAGAACGTCCCGCACGTCAGCAGTTTTCCGGGAAGGCAACCCTTTCAGGTTCCGCGTCCTCGGTGATTACCGTAAAGCTCAGCCGCAGGGCCTGGCCAGGCAGGGGACAGAGGGACAGCTCCCTGTGCATAAAAGTCTTAGCCAGCGGGAAGTCCTGGTCCCTTTGTGACATTTCTGGGGGCAAGCTGGGCGGCCCCTTTCCCAGGCGAACGGCGGGGCGGGAGGGGGTGCGGGCTGGTTGGTGTCGACACCTGACCTACCTGGGGGGAGGGGCTGTCCCCACCGATGATCCAAGGCCGAGGACGGCACCTCGAGGTCTTCAGTGTAAACTCAGCAGGAACCGAGTGGAGCCGGGCTGGGGTCAGCCGGGCTCAGCACCGACAATCTGCTCCCGACAGACTCGGCCAAGAGGTGTCCGGGGCAGACTGGGTCACTGTGGCTTGTGTCTGCCCCTTGTGCACGAGGACTTCTGAGGTTTGAAGCTGCTGCAGACAGAGTTTATCTGCCCCCAGTCCCATCTTCCTGTCTGGGTCTCACACCCTCAAAGCCAGCTGTGCGGCACCCTTTCCCGGGGAGGGGTAAGCTCTGGGGGTGCAGAGTCCCCCCAAGTCCCACCCGAGTGTAGGAGAGAGACACTGTGTGTGGCGCCCCCTGCTGGGCCCTGAGGGATGTTCGTCCTGCCTCCCTCAAGCTGGGAGGGTGCCGGCTGTGCTGGGGCCCTGCCAGCCAGCTGAGTAAAACTGCTAATGAATAACACCAGTTAAAAATGGGCCTGCGCGGCTTCCAGAGTGCTTCGCTGGCCCCCAGCCCAGCGCTTCCCAGCGTGGGGTCAGCGCGGGGTCTTCGGAGAGCAGGGAGAGCCGCGTCGCACCCCTCTCCCCGGCCCGAGGCTGGTGGGTGCGTGCGTGTTGGGCACAGGTCCTCCGGGCGGGAGCTGCCTGGCTCCGGGCCACCCCCACCCCCGTCTATTTCTGTCTCCCTCCCTCTCCGTCTGTCTCTCTTTCTGTCCCTCCATCTCTCTCTCTCTGTCCCCCCACCTGTCATTCTTTCTTAGATCTGGCAGTGTCTCTCACCCATTCTCAGGCAAACGGACCAGGTTAGTGACCACAGTGGCAGGCAGGGGTCACCGTGAGCACGCTCCCCGCCGCCCGTCGACGAAGGGCTCTGCCACGCAGCGCGGGACAGTCCGCATTTCCTGGGGAGTTTCAGCCCCATCACTAATCAAGCCATAGAGCGACCTCAGCGTTTACAGTAAATCACGGGGAATGTCACTCATCACAGCCACCGCGAGCTGCGGGTGGCTCATTCATATTCAGTGTGATGTGCACACTTTGAACAATGATGCAGCTGACCAGTCACCTGCAGGCGAAGCTGCCCTGAGCCGGTCACAGTCCCTGGAGGGTGGGGACCGCCTGCAGGGGACCCTCCCCCCACTGTCCAACACGCTGACATGCAGCAGGGCCTGGGGGGGCACTGGGTCCCAGAGGGAGCCTGGGGGGGGGTCGGATGGCAGCTGGTAGGTGTCTGGGGACCAGAGGTGGTCCTGGCGGCCCCAACCCCCACTTGAGGCCCCACCCTCTCTGCCTCTGCCCTGTGAACCCCCGACCCTGGCCTCTCGCCCTCTCAGGTTGGGGGGACGCCTGCCCCGAGCTGGCCGCACTGGGTCTGCTTTAGACACAAGGGGCCACTCACGGAGGAGCCGGGTCCACATGGGCCCGGGGGCTGGGGGTCCAGGCACGCCCGGCCTCAAGGTGCCCTTGGCAGAGCCCCTGCCTGGCCAGGAATGAGGGGTGCAGCCAGGTGGTCTGGGAGCACCCCGGGGCAGGTTCCTGCTAGACCACCTCAGGGACTGTGTCTGCAGGGACCACAGCTGCAGGGAGGGGCCGCCCCCTGCTCCCCCTCCCCGTGAGGGGACCTGGGCTCCTGTCCGAACTCCTTACTCTCCCCAGGCCAAGGGTCACCGGATCTGGAAGGACTTGGTGTGGCCGGGGTCCCGCACCCCTGGCCCTCCCTGCCCCCTGTGGAGTCCGGCTCCTGGGGTGACAGCCCCCCACATACCCTCCTCCCAGCCCGCCCGCCGTCCCTCTGAGGAGGGTCCAGACAGGACCAGGGGCAGGAGCACCACCGCACGTGGGGCCGCGGACCTCTCAGCCCAGCAGGACAGAGACCGGAGTGTGTCTGGGCTCAGCGCCTGTCCCACAGCCGTCCCATCCCGGGGACGCTTCAGCCAAAGGCCATTAAGCTGTCACGGACCATCTGTCTGGCCCCCCTTCCTGCCGGGTTCCGAGGGGCCAGGAGCGCACGAGACGCTTGCACTTCCGACTCCTTCTCTCCACTGAGTCATCGCCGTCCGGCCTGACCGCCCTGCTGCCAGCTCTGAGCTCACCGGCTCTGCTGCCCGTCACCCCCCCAGAGCTGGGCTGAGGGCCGACAAGGACGGCGCTATCCTGGGCCGCTGCAGCGGCTCCGTGGGTGCCAGGTGGGGCCAGGTGTGGGCTGCAGCGCACCTGCCCCTCACTCATGTGTGGCCTGGGCACTGCCTCGGCGTGAGGGGGTGGAGCAACCTGGTCCCGAGGCCACCAGCTGCATAGGAAGTCCTGCCCTGCCCCCCCGTCCCCGTGGCATGGGCAGGTGGACGGCCTCTGCCCCAGAACAGGAGCTGCTCAGGGGTCTTCCCACCGCTCCTCGCTGGGGGCGCTGCCCGGGTGCCCACATGCTCCTCGGGCTTCCAAGGCTCTCTCCCCAAACTTTGCCGCCACAAGGCCCTTGAAAGGAACGAGGGAGGTGGCATCTCACACCCAGCGCCAAGGTCCTGAGTGGGCAGGGCCCATCCCTCCACACTTATGAACAAAATCTGGACAAAAGGCAGCTGGCAGAGCAGCCGCAGAGGCCTGGGGGAGGCAGGCCAATAGGTGGAGGTGAGGCGTGGGCGGCTGGTCCGGAGCTTCTGGGCTCCCCTCGGGGCTCTGCCTCAAGGACACGCCCCAGTCCCAACCCAGCGCAGCCACCCAGGGGGCCCCGACTCTGAGGGAAACCCCGTCTTTCTGCTAGAGGAGCCAGGAAGGGTCCCCCACAGGCAGGAGGGGCCTGGACGGGAGACAGTGGACGAGAGGGTCTCCTGGTTCCGGGTGTCTCACGAGCCACGAGAGGGGCACATGTCCCAGAGCCACCCAGAGGGGCGCAGTGGGACAGACCCCAGCCAGGTGCGGCTACCAGGAGGCGGAGAGGTGGGCCAGCCCGCACCAGCCCCTCCAGGGGGTGGACTCAGGACAGAGGCCCAACGCGGCGTCCAGGGGCGTTGCAATGCTCGGGACGCAGGGTGAAACCCCTCCCAGGACCCGGGACGTGGGCCTCGTGCCCTTGGGCAGACAGCGGCGGGTGTGCCGGCCCCGCTGGGCCGTGGCACTCACACCGCGGCGGGCGTGGCCCCGCACAGACAGAAAGACTGCCCGGGGGAGAAGCAGGACCTGCAGGAAATGAACGGATGGGAGTGTCAAGGCTGGAAACCGACCTCTGAGACGGAAAAGTCCCCGGAGGGACGCGGCCCGGCCGGGCACGGACGGGGAAGTTGAGGGACTGAAGAAAACACCCGACCTGAACAGCAGAGATTAAAAGGAAAAAAAACGCAGTCGAGGCTCAGGGACCAGCAGGCACAGCACCCAAAGGCTGGCAGACGCACTTGGAGTTCTAGAGAGGGGACCGTCATTGGAGGGCATGACGGCTGGGACATCCGGAACTTGGGGGAGACGCCAGTTTAAAAGTTCCAGGGACCCTGGCCAGGGGCTCGGTCCCCAGTCGGGTGTGTGCAGAGGTCACCCGTGTGTCTCTTTCTCTCTCCCCCCCCACTTCCTCTCTCTCAAAAAGCCAATGGACATACCTTCGGTTGAGGGTTAATTTTTTTAAAGATTTTATTTATTTATCTTTAGAGGGGAAGGGAAGGAGAGAGGGAGAGAAATATCAATGTGTGGTTGCTTCTGGTGCATCCCCTGCTGGGAACTGGCCCCTGCTGGGAACTGGCCGCAACCCAGGCATGTGCCCTGACTGGGAATCGAACCGCGATTGTCTGGTTCGCAGGCCTGCGCTCAATCCACTGAGCTTGGGTGAGGGTTAACTTTTAAAAAATAAATTAAAAGTAAAATAAAACGTCCAGGGCTTCAGAGGACCCCGAAGAGGATGAACACACCCACAAGCCACTTAGAAACTTGGTGATCGAACTGCTGAAAACCAAAG